TTCAACCCGAGACGTCCTGGGTTTCTGTCCTGAGAAAGTTAATTCAACAGTCGCTCTTTTTCTCTCTTGAGCCGTGAGCGCGCAAATTAAGTCAGTGGGTAAATAAATATAAACAAACACTAAAATAAAATTTAAAACCCCAGGGCGCTTGCCCAACAGAGGAGAACGCCGCAGCCTGGTCCCTACCCGGGCTGCAGTACCTGCCAGCAGCTTCTCCTTCAGCCGATTCAGCAGCTCGGCTGAAGTGGGCCCTTTGGGCTTGTGCACGGCGAACACGCCGCTGAGCGACAGCAGCTTAGCAGCCAGGGCGGCCTTGGAGACCTGGGCTGGCGATCTGGGCCGGGACGTTACCACTGCGGCTGTTTCTGCAGCATCGGGGGCTGCGTCGGCAATCGGAGGAGACGCCACCTCTGCCTCAGCAGCTGCCATGCTTTCACAGCCTGCACCCACTACCGGGAGGCGCACACCGATGACCCACGAGCTGCAGCCTGCTCAGCCCTCCTTTCTCGGGCTGGGCCGCAAAGCCCTCTGGGAATTGTAGTCCGGAGACTCTCGGTACTGGCCAACGGCTTGCTGTGGCTGCTCAGGGTGGCTGCTCAGGGTTTCCCTAGAATCTCTCCTTTATCTTTATTTCTGAACTGCTCTTAGTTCCTGAGGTAGGGGACATTGGAGTTGCCGTTGTAAACTACCCAACACAAACACCCAACTTGTGAAACTCAGGTGAAGGATACACTTCCTGTCCCATGGGCACCCTTCTACAACTAAATCGCCCCCAAAACCCTACGTTCGTGTGTGTGTGTGTGTGTGTATGTGTGTGTGTGTGTCTGAGGTGTGTGTGTGTGTGTGTGTGTGTGTGTGTGTGTGTGTGTGTGTATGTGTGTCTGAGATATGCCACTCACAGGCATTTGACAACTTGGTCCCCAGTTGAAGGCTGTGCGGACACAGTTTAGGAAGTGTGACCTTGCTGGAGGATGTACATCACTGCAGACAGGCTTTGAGATTAAAAGCCTTGTGTTACTTAACACCCAGTTTTCTCTCTGCTTCCTGCTTGTGAAGCAGATATCTTGTGAAGAAGATATGGGCCCAGCACCCTAATTCAGCCTGCTGCTTGCTACCTTGCTTCCCCGTCCTGACAGACCCTTATCAGCCTAGAACCATAAACCTAAATAAACTCTTTCTTCTGTAAATTGCCTTGGTCATGTGTTTCGTCACAGCAATAGAAAACTAACTAATATACCAAATCTCAAAATAGTCTCCAACAAACTGAAGTCTCTAATATTCTAGATAAATTGTCTTGTTGCCGTCAAACACCCATGGTTCACCAAAGGTTGTTTATGAGTAAGATTTGTTTTTAAAAAAAATCCACCAGATCCAAGTATAGTGTTGGGTTCCCCCATGGTTCCTGGGGCCTCTGCAATGACCCCCAACATAGACACACAGGCCTGGGGACGCTTTTTCTTCCCAGAGGTGTCAGTATACTCTCTTCTCTGGAGCCACGGGCAGCAGGGCACAGAGGCCACTCTGAGGCCGTTACAGTCTGAGTCTCCAAACTGAGTTGCAGAAAGGTGTTCCTGACAGCTCAGAAGGTAAAGCTGAGGGTGCTCAGATCTGCATGCCAGGCTCGGGAAAGGCCCCATGTTTATAAAGTTCAGAGAAGAGCCAGATGTATCTGCCCCATCTGTTTATGATTTCCATCAAGAAATAAAAGGGGCTGGAAAACTCTTTAAAATTTTGTCCCTGCCTGTGCCACTGAAAACTATCCTAATAGGGAAGAAAAGGGCAAGAGAAGTAAAGAAATCTGCTTGACTGCACAAGGGAGGCTCTGCTGTGGGTTGAGGGGATTAAAGGACGTTTAGGTGGACTTACTGAGGTATAAATGTGTGTACGGTTTTGATTCTGGTTTTACATTCCTGTAATTAGGAAAAATAATAGCAATAAATAAAACAAAATTAAGTGAACAGTGTTTTTATTTTGAGGAGAAAGAACCAAGGCTACTATCAGGAGCATCACAGATATGTAGAAGTTAGGCCAAAACAAGCTGACATCCAATGATCCAGGAATGGGAAGAAATCCCAGAGATGTTCAAAGAAAACCAAAGGAACTTTTTCAAAAGATCAAGAAAGAGGGGCTGGAGAGATGGTTCAGTAGTTAAGAGCACTGACTGCTCTTCCAGGGGAATCCAGGTTCAATTCCCAGCACCCACATGGCAGCTCACAGCTGTCTGAAGATCCAGTTGCAAGGGATATGACACCTTCATACCAATGCACATAAAATAAAAGTTAAATAAACCATAAAAAATATCAAGAAAGAGATAGCTGTACTGCATACGGCCAAAAGTTAAAGATGAGGGATGACGAATCTTCTCTATCATGAATGCTTTGGGGTGGAAATGGGAAGGGCAAGAGAGAGAAAGTGTCCTAGAAAAGACTGAACGGGAGCTCTCCCTGCCCTCCCTGACGTGAGCACTCTGCTCTAGGGAATTCTGTCCTGAGATGGAGGCCTGTGGGAACTCATGACAGAGACTGCTAAAGGAGACAGGCTTGGGTGGGTGCATGCTCCATGCTGACACTCAGCTTTTCCCAGGCATTTCTGTAATAATTCTCAGGAAAATAGCTTGATACCATAACTTCACTGCCAAGCAAATACTGTGTGACTTTTCCTGGGGAAGTGTGAACAACTTCCAGTCCCCCTTAGATAGGGCACCAGTACCAGACCCCCAAACCTATCCTACCTAAGTTGAGCCTAGTGGAACCAGCAAATTTATTAACGTGACTTACAGGAGCGTGGGTGACTCTAAGGCAGCTGCCTCAACAGAGAGCCTGTTGCAATGTGGGTGAAGACTCATGAAGACTGCATCTTGGAGCTCCCTGCACAACTGGCAGGCAGCTGTGCTGGAGGAGAGAAGGGGCGGGGAGTCTCCTTTCCCCACCAACTGCCTTGGGGGAAGCCTTGTGTCTCCATTTCCTTGATCTTGTGAGTTTATTTACTTCCTGAATCCTATGAACATCCCCTGCCCTCTAGTAGGAAGTGTTTCCACTTGGATATAACCACAAAACAGTGATGGTGATGACGATGATGGTAATGATGGTGGTGATAATGATGGTGATGATGGTGATGATGGTGATGATGATGGTGATGGTGATGGTGGTGATGTTGATGATGGTGATGATGGTGGTGATGATGGTGGTGATGATGATGATGATGATGATGATGGTGATGGTGATGATGGTGATGGTGATGATGATGGTGGTGATGATGGTGGTGATGGTGGTGATGATGGTGATGGTGATGATGATGATGATGGTGATGATGATGATGATGGTGATGATGATGATGATGATGATGGTGGTGATGATGGTGATGATGATGATGATGATGATGATGATGATGGTGATGATGATGATGATAATGGTGGTGGTGGTGACGAGGATGATGATAATTTTATAGCCATTCTATAAGTGAGGAATGTGAAACTAAATGAGGGTAATTTGACAAACAGCACATGACTACAATAGAGTCAGTAGTACTTTGGGAGTCCGCCAGAACAATTCAGGACAGATTCATGAGAAAGACTTGGGGTTCAGAAAGCCTCTAAAACTCACAGTTGAAGTTTGCTGTTTTAAAGGATGCAGACTGAAATGTGTGAAGGATGAAGCTGGTAGTTGAAACTATCTCAAGTTTTTTCTTTCAGAGGAAGAGTAAGCACAGCGTTTAACTCTCCTAACACTGAGATGGAAGCTTTGACGTGGGAACTCCTAAAAAGTCTTCTGCACTGCTGACCTTACATAGTCAGTCTCTGGATGCCAGAGTTCAAAACGATGCTGTTGTCGCCTGAGGCCTGAGACACCATTATATTCTTGTCAGATGGGATATTCCAAGTATCAAAAGCTGATTCTCCCAAGGGCTAGTCTTTTCTTGGAATGGTCAGGTTTTGAGCAAACCAAGCTTTCTGGGTTAACCCTTTAGTGTACAGGAGAAAGGCTGACACTAGACCTGGAGCCTCCCTGTGGATCATTGCCAAAAATGTGGGAGGTCCATGCCTGTAATCCCAACTCTCCAGAGGCAGAAGTAGGAGGATAACAAATTCAAAGCCAGTTTGGACTACCATGTGAGACTCTGTCTCAAAAAAAACCCCTACATAACATAATTTAGATAATATTTTTATTTCTAAAAGAATTGAAGAGAGACTCAGTAAATGATAAATAAACATTAGCAAGATTCTAGACGTCCCTAGTAAAATAATTTTATATATAAAAAAGAAGTGGTGATTATAATAATCAAGAATGTGGTTAATAATTCAATAAACATTTGTATGAAGACTCTGTTAGCAAGACAGTGATCACAGTAAGTAAACAGAATCCAACTCTGCTCTGGAATTCAGCAGGCGCACAGTGAGTTAGTTTCCACTGCCAGATGTAAACAGGCAACGTGCTAGTCCAGATCTCCCTTGGAATAAGTCACAGTATACTAACACGCTTCCTCCTTGAGAGGCTGGAGTGGGGAAGAAAGCAGTAGCTATGGTTTATTTATGCTTAAGAAAGCTGTTTGGAGGCTTGCTGTGGCATCCTCAAGAATGTAATGGTGGGTGAGAGCATGGTAAGAAAAGATAGATGCTCTAGTTTCATGGAAAATTACGTGCATAACAGACTAACATCATCTAAAAGAAATTTCTAGTGTTGTATAACAGGCAGAGTTGGGGGGGGGCTGCCATGATCCAAATTTTGAGTATTGTTGACTTGGACAAGAATGTAGAAGATATGTGTACTTTGCTTGACCCCAGCAGGAAGGTGAGGAACGAGAAGAGATGACAAACTCTGTGCACTAACCATGAGGTGCACACACAGGGATTGGCACGAATAACTGCCTGAGAAAGAGCGCTGCTGTGCAAAGATGAGCAAACTGCTGTCTAAAAGCAATAAGCAGTTACAAAGGTTCAGAAACTGAAAAATTAAAGTTGATAGAGCTAGGTTTGCTGTGTCCAAAGTCTAGAATGTTCCAATGCCCATAGAGACAGGACAGACAGACAGGACAGACTGGCTCAGTTTAGATGGAGTACAGAGGTGGCCACAAGGTCCCAGAATATTAAAGTTAAAAATAATTTCCATGGGCAAGTCACAGAAAGCGTTGGCGAGAATCATCTACGCCATAAAATCATGGAATTTCTGATGTGGGATTCCCCTCTGTATACTGTGAATAAGTTATATTACCATTGGTCAATAAAGAAGCCACTTTGTCCTATGGCAGGGCAGAACATAGCAAGGTGAGAAATCCAAGCAGAGATAGAGGGGGAAAGAAGTTGGAGTCAGAGAGACACCATGCAGCTGCCAAAAGGAGTACCATGCTAGCCAATAAGCCACAGCCTAGCGGCAATACACAGATTAATAGAAGTGGGTTAATTTAAGATGTAAGAGCTAACTAGGAACACACCTAGGCTATTGGCCAAACAGCGTTGCCATTAATAAAGTTTCTGCATGGTTATTCA